AAACGGGCCCAGGACGAAATTTTCAAGCCAAAGAAACAGTTGTTTCTCACTCAACTTGCACCTAGGCCTCCGCCTCTCAGACCCTTATATGTTGCTGGGGCCATGCGCTATCCTGAGTGGAATGCGGCCCTTCACGCTGAGCATGGGGCACTCCTGGCTAATTCCACATGGGACTTGGTTCCCCGACTAGCGCACTATCATGTTCTTGGAAACCGTTGGCTCTTACGCGTCGAACATCACCCTGATGGGTCGATTGCTCGGTTCAAAACACGGCTTGTGGCCAAGGGTTATCATCAACGCCGTGGTCTTGACTTCACAAATACTTTCAGTCCTGTTGTTAAGCATGTCACTGTTCGCACTGTCTTCACAGTGGCCTTGTCACAGTCGTGGCCCATTGCTCAGTTTGACGTCAACAATGCTTTTCTTCAGGGTCCCTTACAGGAAGAGGTTTACATGGTCCCACGGCCGGGGTTTGTTGACCCTTCTCGTCCTCACCATTTATGTTGTCTCCGCCAGGCAATCTATGCTCTTCGGCAAGCTCCTCGTGCGTGGTATACTGCGTTGAGTTCATTTCTTCTCCAGTTCGGCTTCACCAGGACACATTCTGATGCATCCCTCTTTGTCTACTCTCATGGCACAGGTCTTCTCTAGTTTTTGGTGTATGTCGACGACCTATTGCTTACTGGCAACGACCCACGCACACTTGCCACCTTCCAGCAAGCTCTCTCTGCCCGGTTTTCTCTCAAGGCACTTGGGGATGTCAATTATTTCCTTGGTATCGAGGTTATTCCCACGTCTACTGGCTATATCTTGTCCCAACATAAATATATGGTTGATCTAATATATCGCTTCTTGTGGACTGATGCCAAAGCGGTCCACACACCACTCGCTGCCTCCACCCATCTTACCCTCGATGATGGGAGTCCGCCCACGGATGCGACACACTTTCGTCAGGTAATTGGTTCTCTCCAGTACCTGGTGTATACTCGCAGGCATTGCTTTCTCCATCAACAAGCTTTCCAATATATGCATGTTGCAACGTCACATCACTAACAGTGTGTCAAGCGCCTCTTGCGCTATGTTTCCAGCACTCTCGACTATGGTCTCTCCATACTTCACTCCCCCGGCACTCTTAACCTCTCTGCCTTTGCTGATGCTGACTGGGCAGGGAATCTCGACGATTGGTCCTCCACCTCTGGCTATCTTGTCTATCTCGGCAACACGCTAGTCTCTTGGCATTCTGAGAAATAACGCACCGTGGCTCGCTCTAGCATTGAGGCTGAATATCGAGCCATTGCCAATGCCACCGCCGAGTTGGAATGGGTGCAGAATCTCCTTCACGAGCTTCGTCACCCTATGACCGCCGCTCCCACACTCTAATCCGACAATCTCGGTGCCACCTATTTCAGCGCCAATCCAGTGTTTCATTCCCGCATGAAGCACCTCGCTTTTCATTACCACTTTGTTCGACAGTTGGTTCAAGCCGGCCCGCTGCATGTATCCTACATCCCCACGACCCACTAGCTCGCTGATGCTCTCACCAAACCGTTGTCGGCTACTCGTTTTCTTCTCCTCCGATCCAAGATTGGAGTGGTTGATACCTCCTCCATCTTGCGGGGGCGTATTAGAGATAAATGAGTGTTTCCATTTATTTTATTCTTATTCTTTTTCCCACTATCTATTTTTCGGTTCCTAGCTTTGTGGGTAGTGCACAGCAGGCTATTGCTACGTGCTCCTAGTTTCACTCCCAAAATTGTGTATATTAGAGAATAGGAGGATCAATGAGAAACAACTTGAAATCTTTCTCACTAGAACAAAATCCTATAATATCTTTCAAGATTCACTCCCTAGAAGCATCCACCGCCGAACTGAGCAAGCGCGTAGGTCGGGTTATATGGTTTGCCGAGGTCCGGGATGAAAGTCGGGTTGTTGTTGGTGGTCGGTGCGGCCATTTTGTGGATTTGGGGTCGAGGACGGAGTTATGCGATAAAAAGGCCAAGTTGGACGAGGACGAAAAGGAGGAAGTATAGTAGATAGGAGGAAGCGACGATGTGGGATTGTCTCGATGCCAGACGGCACCCTCCATTGCCCCGCCGTGCCTATTCTCTGCCGGGGAAGAAAAACAACAAGCGGAGGAGGAAAAGAGCGAGGGAGCGGGATCTTCTCTTCTATATTTTTTTGCTCTACATGGCGGTCTTGAAGTAATACATTGATATTATTATCTCCCCGGTTCCTACAATTGATCAATCGAACAAGAGTTTGGATCCGTACAATTGATGGCGGTTCGAATGGCGCCCCGACAATGACAACAAAAGGAATTGTAGACTTTATAGGGAGAAGGGGAGCGAGCAAATAAGAGAGATGGAGAGCCGGAGAGATTATTTGAAAGGAGAGAGAGATGCAAAATGGAAGGAAGAGGAGGAGGCGATTAGTTGCATTTTCCTCCTGCAGGCCATATAAGAAGAAGAAACAAGAAGCACCTCTTTTTCTTGGACGAATTCAGAGAAGAAGGAGAGATGGCAGTGGTTGGTAGATCTGGAGAGGTCAGGCGGGTTAAAATAAAGGGTTATATGTACAATATGCCCCTGTACTTTGCATTTTTCTCAAACATGCCCCTCTACTATAAATCATATCAAATCTACCCTTATACTATTAAGTACTTCTTAAACATGCCCTTCCATCCATTTTTCCGTCTCATAATCGTTAGTTAGGTCCAACCTGATTTTGGCCAACACGGCTTCATGAAATGAGAGGTTGAAAGACACTTTTATCCTCCTTTAGCTTTAACATCATCATCGTTCCCAAAAATCCCCCATTCACGAACCCCATTCCATCGATTAACGATAGACTCCAACCCTGTTCCAAATTTATCCTCTGTTTTGCTAAATCGACCGCCTCTTCGGGTTGGATCTAATTCTGAAGATAACAATTGAATTCCTCGGAGCCTCATCTCCGTGTATCTTCTCTCTATTTCTATCATCACCAGCCAAATTTTTTTATCGCTACTCACAGTTTTGCAGTACTACTACCCTGATTTGCTTCTCTCTTCCATCCCGTCACTGGCAATCTAGTCATCTTGAGATTTGGTTGCTAGCAATGTAAATGAACGAGAGGGAGAAGCATTCCTTGCAAGTATTAAGGTATTGGTGTTGTGATTGTTGTTGCCATCGCTCAGGGGAAAGAAAACAGAGACTTTATTTTCCAGATTTAAAAATAAGGAGATCTTAGCTTGTGGTTCTAATAATTAGACATGTGAAGTATTGGTTTGATCCTTCTTTCTTCTTTTCAAAAATTGAAATCACATATTAGTGTTGCCCATTACCAGCTTCAAATGGTTGCTTGCAAGTAGAGTTAAAATTTAGGTATTTCAATTTATCGTTTAGGGATTTTTTTTTCGTTGCCAAATTGAGTTCTTTGTCCATATGTTGTTACGAGTTAGGAATTGAGGATCGAAGAGAGTAGAGAGCTGGAGCGAGATGGATTTGCCGAAAGGAGTGGCGGTGAGAGAGGGGCTCCGAAGATGTTTGACGGCGATGCGGTGGCGGCTCCGAAGTAGCTAGAGGGTTGAGACTTGGGGACCCCAATTTGGGCTCATCCCGGAGGGAATCGATGACCAGTTAGGGGCAGAATCCACCATCAGTTCGATGACAGCGAAGAGGGGTGGTGACTGAAAATCCAATGTCGGAGACACGAGGTTGCTTGGATGACCGGAGAGGGATCAGGGATTGCTGGAGCCTGGAGGGAAGAGTCGATGGTACATGATTGATATTTTTGGGAACGATGATATTGGAGCCGAAGGAGGGTAAAATTGTCTTTCACCCTCTTATTTACGTGACAACATGTTGCTCAAAACTAGGTTGAACCAGACTAACGGCAATGTGACTGAAAAACAGATGGGAGGGAAAGTTTGATAAATTCTTAATGGGTAGGTTTGATGTGATTTATAATAGAGGGTCATGTTTGAGAAAAATGTAAAGTACAGGGGCATATTATACATATAACCCTAAACTAAAGTAGGTTTGGGTTACATGTTGGTTTAATTGACGTGGCGAGTTGGGTTTATATATTTTTGGGTTAAAAATAGGTTGATTGAAAATTTTGTTAGTCACGTCAACAAAAATCTAACGGCGTTAACGGAGACTAACGGAAGGTAACGGAGAGTGACTAAACTTGAAATGTTTAACTAATTCTAATGACCATGAATGAAATTAAGTATTTTTAGTGACCAAACGTAAACCTTTTTAGTAATCTCAATAACCAACCTTGCAATTAACCCAAAAATGTGTAGATTAGGAATTTTTTGAAAAACGTGTGTATTATGTGAAAAAATCCCTATGTACCAGTATGTTGTACGCATTCTGGTAGACCTCAACCAGAATTCAATAAAATCCCAACAGTGGCGGAGGCAGCATTTCAAACCACCCCTGTCCTCTTTTCATAACTTAAATATATAAGTATCTAATAAAAGAATTATTTAATAAAAAATAATTACATCAAAATAATTCATTCATAAATTAAAAATAACCGATTATACTATCATACTTTTCAGAAACAACTACGAACGAATTTCATATAGTGAAAGAAGCGCAAAAACATTCGTTGTCTACACTATTATATAAGTCTCTTTCAATGTATCTTACTAAACAAGTATTAACAAACTGGTCGCCAAATCGACTTGGAAACTTGTTCTTAATATAACTCAAAGCTGAAAAATGCTCTTTTTACACTTGCAATTGTAATTGGTAAATCAAAACTAGTGGGATTGCCGTTGTCGCTAGACAATTACAGGTTGTTGGGGAAAGATCGAATAGGCATAAGGAGAAAAGAGACCCGATTGGTTCTTTATTGCAATTGGAATTTCGTTTATTATATAATAAATTAATTTTATGTCAATTTTGGACAAGTAATGAGTTGTGTACTTGTGTAGTACAGACAAAATACTCTAATACTACCTATACGTGTTGTGTTCCAGCACTAATATAAATATATATGTCATATTTTTGTTCCATCGAAATTTACTCCTGTCCCGGGACAAGGCCAAAAGACCCTGCCTCCGGCCACTGAATCCCAACACCCTTAGAAAGAAACAATTAATTATATTACCGAATCAACGTCATTAGCAACAAAGAAATGATAATAAGAAAAAAAGAATAGAATATACACTTCCTTTTCCCCCCCAAACGAACAGCAAAATGAATTAAGATCGCCAAGTTACGAGCAACATAAAAGCATGCCATCTGAACCTCCACCAGAGAGACAAGCCGCCGTCGTATTCCCGCTAGCCACTCCACAAAACCGCCGTTGAAGGCTGCTGCTGCTCAAACAAACAACTTATACGGCTCGCTTCCTTTCCTTCTTCTCCTTCACCTTCTTCACAACGTAGTGTATGCGAACTTACGTAGTATGTCAGCGTATTCTCTTCTATATAATATAATATCATTTCGTTTCTTTTTTCTTCATATTCTACTACTCTTTTGCTTAAGAACAATAAACGAACTACTCAGAGTACTTCACTACCGATAGAGCACTTCACTTTCTTCCACATCACCAGCGACTTGAGAAATTCCATTACCTACACAATACGAATGATAAGAGGTTAATATTTTACGAGGCGCCATAAGAGTTCTGATTTACAGAGTCCTAGAGTTAGATAAAGAGTTACCTCAGATGGATCTCTAAGGGAGTAATATGCATTGCTTTCCTTGGGCGCAGATGACACCAAAATCCCATAGCCGCACCTCCTCTCCCTCAACACCTGACATAAAGGACAGCAAATTCAGTATGCACCAAAATTTTGCAGGCAATGTTGCCCTTGAGCTACAAGATCTTCAGAAGATATTACCTTAAATGCATCTTCATCAGTCCGGTCATCTCCAATGTAAATTGGAAGAACGTCATCGCAATTGTTCAGGCCTGGCCGAAAACAATGGGTCAGAGGGCTGTGTTTTCATCAAGGAGAACCAAAATACAGAATACACAACTGTGATTACAAGTTGGTCAAGTAGTTGAGAGGTTACCGAGAGATTCGAGAAGAAATGTCACAGCCTTCCCCTTGTCCCAGTCAATTACAGGTCGCACCTCCAGAACCTAATCAAAATATAATAAGCTCTTTAAAAACCAAAACAGAGACAACATTAGTGGGGGAGAAGACAAAGAAAGGTCTGGGAGGGAATCACCTTTCTTCCGTGTGTCAGCCGTAGCTTCGGATAGTTTTTAATCACTTTGTCTACAGAGCGCGCCACCGCGTCCCAATACTGAATTTTAAAATAAAACGTAGCAGCTTTCAGTTTCGAACAGTAAGTACATACATCAAAGTTAAACTAACAATACAGTTGGATTAAACAAAGATACCTTGTCATCTACATTTCGGTAATGTACGGAGACGCAGAATTTGTTGTTTTCAACTTTAGCTCCTTTTATGTCTCTAGTGCTCTCCACAAGGGAATTGAACACCTGTCCAATTCGAATACAATGAAAAATGGCTTTAACTAAACCTGGAATGGAGAGACGGCTAAAGTCCTTATCTTCCAAATAAAACGGACACGCTACATACCTCATCAATCATGGGTAGAAATTCACTAGCAGGCTGGAACAGATTAACTTCTTTACCCTGCATAGACAAACGAGATTATAAATATATAGCTCCCCCATGCTCTGGGAAGTGGAGAAAAGAAAAGCAAGAAGCTACACAAAGTCGTTCCTTACCCGCTTGCAAGTGGACCGTATAGAATTTGCATAGTCAGCAGGAGCCGATTCCCTAACGGGACTCATTATGTCCATCCCATGACTACCGGCATAGTATAGTTCAGTTAGACCTACAAACTCGTACACCTAAAACAAAGAGAAACCCACTTGAGAAACATGTACACCAAGTGTTGTATCAATGGTGACAACTGTACAGAACAGTTACCTTGTCACGACTTCTTCCACTGATTATGGCTGTTGGGAAATATTTGGCAACCTTTTTGACAGCGGATCGCATCTGAAAAAGATCATACGCCACACCAGATAATCAGCAAACCCAACTTACAATAACACCAGTAAAGGATGACAGGCAACTTCAGCATTCGGAGAATGTTTGTAGTACTATGCTTACATCATTAGACATAAAGGCGCAGTCAGGGTTGTCGACAATGGGTGAAAGAGTCCCATCGTAATCCAGAAACAATGCTATCCGTTTCCCTCTTGCAAAGTTTGCAATTTGCTCAAATGATGCTAGAGCTGACGGATATTTAAGCTGATCATAATTGGGGAAAAGTTCTGATTTAGTCACAGTCAAAACTATTACAGATAGAATAAAGCAACAGGGAACCTAAAAGCCACAACTTACCAGCCAGTTAGAGTAGCCGCTGTCATCAGGTGATGTATGATCATTGTTCTGTTCCTTGGTTACCCTCTTAGGAGGTGGTGAGGATGCTTTCATAGCATCCAGCCAGCTGCTGGATCGTACATCATCCAGTAACCCAGCTTTCTTCCTTGGAACAGTTAGTAACAGATTTGGCGAGAATGCTGCTCTAGAGGCGGTGGTGCAATGTAACAAGGAAGAGTGCAACCTTGACTGGGCTATGGGTGCAGAATCAGTGAGAACTGGAGCAGCGTGATTTGTTTTAAGGTCCATCTCACAAGGATCCGTGAGCCCGGCTTTTGAGTATACAGATCAAATAAGCCAACAGTTCCAACCCTTGGAGTTCCACGAAAAATTAGTACTTGACAGTTGAAAACTAGTTCACCCAACCGTCTTGTCAATGAAAAACCACCTCTTCAAGGATTTCTTGTCACAGATGCTCGGCAAGCAGTCCATCAATGGCAGAACTCTAGTATACTGAATAACAAGGCTAGTAAGATACAATAAAATTCCCAAAACGGTGAACAGATTCGACGTATTTAGATGTTACCTAAATGGTCTCATCTCCTTTTCAGCGTATTAGTTGAGAAGTAAATAAAACTGCGTTCGAGAATACTATGGAAGATTATGTGCGATTCCACAATTCAGGGCCCCTTGAAATCTTCAAGCTTCTGCAATGATTACCAAACAGCAAAATCATTCCAGGCTCTACCAACAAAGAACTTGATAGTCCGCAAAGAACAGAATATAAAATCATAAAGTTATGAAAATCATAAAGAACATATTGATCCACCTTCCATGGCCTTTCATAGCCCTTTCTACTTTTCTTGCTCAGTAGTAATCACAACCATGAAATAGTCATTTTCAGGGAAACGCAAAACATTAGACAAAACTGTGTGCTCCATTTCCATATTTCTCATGCACCAGCCTTGACCCTTGCCAACTTGAGCTTTAACAGCCTCAGTACAAAAAGAAAATCCTACTGTAAACTCATCATTCTTGCCGGTCAAAAAGTAATTCATGAAAGAGGCAGGTAAATTACTGTTCACATAGATACCGGTAGAGTAGAGTAGAGAAGCCATTACTCCCATACCAACCAACCCAACTCCAAAGGGTCGTCTAGTAATAAAAGGGTAAGCAACATGCCCCATGTTCAGGTAGAAAGTATGATGAAAATGCATCTAGTGCTAAATGAGTACCATTAAACGAACAGCTCAAGAGAGAAAAGAATCATACGTACACACAGATTGTGAATCTGCCACAGCTTGGAAAGGAATGAACGAGCAACAAAAATATATATATACACATGTTGGAGAAACACTGAGTGGCTTTAAAACTAGGCCCACAAATAGGATGTCTGGTAGAGAAATTATTAGAAATTTTCTTTCATGGTTTGTTTACATAAAAAGCTTTGGAGCCCCACAATAGTGGGATGCAGGCATACCATATGCAACCACACAAGACGGGCCTACCATGATGAGCATGGGAATCATTTACGAACATGGACCCAATGCCTAAAAATGGATTCACAGATGATATGAACCATATTGAATGCAGAAAAAAATTTCTCAAGTACGCCAAGAAATCACTCATGTGTTTGTTGCTATCACACATTCTGCCGTGCTATATATACAGCTCCATATTCTTCAATGGTAGAAATGAAAAGAGAATTTATATATAAAAAAACACTTAAATGAAAAAGAAGAGAAGAAAGAACATTATGGTGCAGGGACATGCTTCCATCAAGGGTTTTTTCTTTAATATCCATGAAATTCCGCCAACTAGCAGGTTTATTGGATTTGGTCCACGTCAAGATTCCACAATTACTTGTGGAAATTGACATATGTCCATACTAAAGTTATGTAGGGTTGAGTAATTGAAGAATAAATGGTGATGAGACCATGAAAAAACTAAAATTCGTTTTAAGGAAAAAAATCAAGGATATAAACAAAATCAAGGACTAATCAATCAATAACACAGCTCCATGATGGGAACGAGACAATACAATAAGCGTCAATATCGAAGCAGCTATCTTGCTTTTCACGGTTAGGAAAAGCTGAAAGAGATTGAAATAAAATAAAAACGGCAAAACCGCCAAACTTAAGTCCCGTGAACTTAATTAACAATCGGTCAAATAGAAACAATTAAAACCGTACAATGAATCTGCAACTGCTGGGAGAGGGGGAAAAAAAAGAAAAAGGAAAAAGACGCCATGAACACGGGGAGAAGACTGTGCAGCCATGAAACGCGTATAGAATCAGTTGTCAAATAATGGAGGAAATGAAATCAATACATTTTCCATAGCAACAATATACCAGCGGGAACCAAACCGAACCTATCAAGAAACGAAGAATAACGCACCTAAAACGAGAGGCGAGAATTTAGATCCCGCCGGCGACAGGAAGGCGGCAGCCGGAATGCAGGTATACCTTCAATAACAAAGAAACGGCAGAAATCAATAAAATCACTCGAGCCGAGAAAGTCAAAGAGCGGCGGTGCTCGGAATCGTTGAAAAACGTAACAGAACATAAAATAGACGAGAAAAATCGAACTCGGCGAGGTCCGTAAGGAAACTCCACCTCCGCCGACGAATGCAAGAGAGGAATAGAAACAAGAAACGAAATCGGCGAACGGTACCTAAAGCCGGACGGAAGCGAGTTGGAAGAGGAGGGGGTGTCGGTGGTGGACCGAGCTACGCTCAGCCGGAGGCAGCAGAGAGAGGGAAATGGAAAACCCTAGAATCGGCGGAGAATCAGGCCCGCCGAGAGAAAAAAAGTGAGAGAGAAAGGATTCTTCTGTTGCGTATAGTTATAGAGAGAATCGATGTAGGAACCCGAAAAGCGAGAGAGAAAATAAGAAAGCGGAGAGAGAGAAGGCGAATAAGCTGCAATATATTTATAGAACGCAACGAACGAATGGGGCTAGTTCCGGTTTACAAAAGCCAATTCACGGTTGTTGAAACGGGAAACACTGCGCTTTGATTATTATTATTATACAATAATAATAACTGATCTTCCCCACCCGCAACTTGCCAGTGCATGAAACGCGCGAATTGGCGACCGCGTATTCCCCACAAAACCAAATATGCGCGTGGGGAGAAGTTTGTTTTTCCCCTCTAGTCTGGTTTGTGGGAAACCGGGAGAAGCTAAAGAAATAGGGAATAGGTTAAATAGATTCAGTTATTTGTAATTGGTTGGATTAATAATTAGGAAAAGAGTGGGACACGTAGCGGTGGTGATGACTTCCTGATGGTCAAACCAGAGGGGTGACACCTGTGAGCGAGTCAGATATGATGCGGCCACGTTGGAGGAGTGGGTCCCAGTAGGGGCGGGCGGGTGAACAAAGTGTCGTCGTTTTCAGGTTAGCAAGGGAAAGCGCTTGAGGTGGTGGCGGGGACCCGTCGGTGACGGCCTAACGGGTTGATAGGATTAGGATTGGTGAGGGGGGAAGGGATGGAATGGAATGGAAGCAGCGGCGGATCCAGAACACAGAAGAGTATTGTGCCGTATTTTATTAGAAAATTAGAATCGTAAAAAAAAATATAATGATTATAGTTTTTTGCAATGTAAATTGTACACGACTGTATTTTAATTTAGGGAATGCATCAATAATGAAGTCTACATCCATACCAATAGTATACACTGTTTCAAATAAAATGCTTGAGCAATCGGCGAGAAATTCATTGCTCATTTTGTTGAGAAAATCAGCTTTCACATGTTTCATTGTTAAAAAGGTTCTCTTCGTAGTAGTTGTTGAAACGAGCAACATCAACACTAGATAAATCAATCGACTAATCAAATTGCATTGTGTGTCCATCCCTGCACACCAGTTGCTTTAGTAAATTTGTAAGGGAACAAACCTCATATTTCTTTTAGTCTTTACGTTTTAAACTTTTTAGAATTTTAGGTTTCATTGTTTTTTTAAGACGCATAATCTTTGGGGCTAAAATTTCTAGGCTAAATTTAGAATAGTGATTTGAATATGTTCAACTTGATAATTTTTCTAGTTAAACCCAATCTTATCATAGAATAACACTTGGTCGAATGACTAAAATCAAAAATTTCATAAGGACTATAGTAACCAGTGGCGGAGCCAGGAAATTGGCCAAGGGGGTGTCTTTATCATATCATAAAAAATCACCTATACAATAGAAAAGTCAACTTTAAATTAAACAAAAAGTCAACAACGCAATACTCTAAATTCACACAATTACATTAAAATAGTTTCACGTACACTGGTTACAACGTCAAACAAATAAGTTTAGTACATACAAATCAAGACTTCCATTCATCAAATATTACAAATTAGAACTCAGAAGTACCTTGGAATTGATTTTGTGAAACAAACAAGTGAACTTCAATTGGTACTTCTTCACTTTCAACTTTGTTTAAACAAAAGACAAGAAATTTCTCTGTTGTAGAGCTACAAAAATTAAATGAGCGAGTTTAAACAAAAGACAACAATTTATTACTATAAATAAAGACGAAAGTGCATTACATAACAAAACTCACTCGATCGAAATGATAAGAAATTCTTCCAGCAACTGAATGGTCATTGGTTCGAATTTGTATATACCCCTACTATAAATAAAGACGAAAGTACATTACATAACAAAACTCACTCGATCGAAATGATAAGAAATTCTTCCGGTTTACTACCTTTCTGAGTTCTCTTCTGAACCGTTTATACATTGGGAAATATCGTATTGGAAAGGGACAATGGGAAGAGGAAGAGGAAGAGAAGGTAAAAAGTAGACAGTACAGATATCTAAACTTCAAACAGTTAAAAAGGAAGGGGAAAAGGTGTTGGAAAATGGAAAGCTTGGTTTTTGGAGGGGAAGAGAGGGGAAGAGAGGGGAAGAAATTATAAAAAAATTAATTGGTGTGAGAAGGAATGAAGATGATCATCTCCCTGATGAAGTAGTTGCCCCTGCTGGTGTGAGCTGCAGGACAAACTCTATTGCAGTCGCAGAGTCAAAGAAGCCAGAGGAAGAAGAAAGAGGAAGCAACGCTGCGTTTTAGTATATATATTAGAGTTAGTTTTTACTGCATAGATTTACATAGGGCTGGAGGTTCGGTTATCGGTTGCTGGTTAACCGGCCGGTTAAACTGAAAACCGGCGGTTACCGGTTAACCGATAACCGAAAATTATATGCTTCGGTCGGTGGTCGAAGCTCCTAATAGGTATTTCGGTTAACCGAGTAATCGAAAACCGGTTATCCGGTTAACCGACAATAACCGAAAATAACCAACCGACCACCCCCTCACTAAAATGATGTGAAAATACCCGGTTATGAAGTTTATAATTTTATGTTGTTGAATTTGAGACATTAATTTGGTGATTTAGATGTAGAATGTAAGTTAGAACCTTTCATTTTAGGCAATTCTAATAATTTTACCCAGTTAAAACCGAACCACCATCATTTTTTCGGTTATCTCGGTTAACCGACCAACTAACCGATAACCGGCCGGTCGGTTATTGGTTAGCCGAGGCATTGGCGTTGGTCGGTATTCGGTAGGAGGAGATGGTGGTTCGGTTAACCGGTAACCGACCAATCGGTTATCGGTTATAACCTTTATTAGTTAGTCATTTCTTCTCATGGTGAGAAAGAATCGGGTCCTTGACTTTGACCGTGGCTGGCTGGTTGGTCGGGCCCTTTTCCAGCTTCCAACCGTGCGGGGTTGGCATATGGGTTAGCTGTTGCTAGTTGGCTCAATTAGGCGCCCACCTAACCTAACGCATGTGTTCGTTGCTAGTTGGCTCTTACTGAGAATTGGTTAGCCCTAATTAACATTAAAACTTGATAAAGCCTATGGAGAATTAAGAATTTATATGCCCAATTGTGAGAAAACACATAGTTAGTAAATATTCTGTTTAATATATGTATATGTACCCATACGTATTTTATTCGTTTAAAACTTCCGTATTCTTATAGTTCTCAAGCCATTTCATTTTGTTCCTTTCATTTGAAGGCTCCCATACTAAACACGTATAAAACTCGTATAACACGTATAATATTCATATTTAATGAATTAAATTGTTAACTTTACTGTTATTTATATATTTATTTATCTTTAAAATAATTAATTTTATATGTTTATGATTATTAACGTAATATTAACTTAGAGACGAAGTCAAACACTCGTACGTATTTTATATGTAACTTTATAGTATCGTATTTTACCAATTATGAGAGAAAGTCACCTTTCATACTCTACTCATCCGATCATCACTTACTCTAATTGTTGTAACTAGTAGAGAGTTAGGGACTAGTAGGTTGGCAATATGGTTTGGTCCGGTTAAATTGGCCCGAATTGATCCTATTTCATTCCAGTTTTTTTTGGAAATATGGGGACCAAAGCTTGGATTGGGTACAGTTCGGTTTTGACCCGGCCCGGTCCCAATCCAGTTTTGACCTATTTTGACCCATTTTGACCATGTTGCAGAAAATTCAGCAGCATATACCCATTTTCCTGGAATGTAGACAACCTGTTTGTAGCAAAAATCAAGCCAAACATGGTCCAATACAAAATCACAACCATTATTGATGTCTATTACAAACTCAAAGTCCAATTCAAACTTCAAAATAAAAATAAAGTGCATCACAAGTTCACAACCAAAATTTAGATATCAAACACCAAATTCACTCCAATCTAACAAATTCACCAAACCATTTCTACTCATCAGGTTCAGAGAAACAAATGAAGCATTAGATCCACCTCCTTGATTTGTTCCACTCCTCTAGCCAAACACATCACTCCCTCCGACATTGCTCGTACTTGTACCTTCGTGTCCACTCACATGCTCACACATTTCCGCCTCATCCACCATAATAGCGTTTTAAACTAAATGACATGGATAAAAAAAATATAATTGTTAGCAATAGCATTTACATGGCCAAAACTAAAAACTACAAAGTAATTTACTGACCACTCACGAAGTCTTCTTGATCCTCATAGTCGTCATCGTCACCATCAAGATGCTCCACAAACTCACTAGAACTTGATCTAAACCAATCTTGACTACATATGAGAGCTTCCACAATCTTAGGATGCAAAGATCTCCTAAATTCATCTAAAACACGCCCACTTGTGCTAAAAACGGACTCGGAAGGAACAGTTGACATAGGAATAGCAAACAGATCCTTTGCCATCTCACTTAAGATGGGATACCTCATAGCATTAGTCTTCCCCCACTTCAACACATCAAGCTCTTCTTCGGCATCATCATATTCTCGAGTATGATCAAGATACTTCTCCAACTCACTCTTAGTATGGCCAGCTTGAGGTTTTCCATAATCATCATTAGGATCATAATCATCATAAGATTCATCAGAATCACTACCTGACCTCGATGATCTTGAAGTGGCAACTTGTACTTGACGTTTTGGAGGAGAAGAAGGAGAAGGAGGAGGCATCTTACTCTGATAATATTCAAACAACTTCTCAAGTTCATCATTCAACTCTTTCACCAAGACTTTTGCCCTATCCTCTCCACACATCTTCTTGAATATATGATCCTGATTATTCATCTTATGCCTCGGATCAAACACCACAACCATATAAACCAACTTGTTCAATCTAAAGTTGACACAATCCTTCTCCGACCAATATTTGTCAACTTTAGCCTTCATCTTCGTACCCATCCTAACTATGTCATCATCTGTGCTATTCATCATTTTCTCAATATGATAGAATACCCTTCCAAACTCTCTCAAGAATCGATGAGCTGTCACAACAGAAATAGTGGATGCAACCAAAGTCAAATCGAAAGAATTTCAAATAATTCATCAAAAATTTTTCATTATTCCAATCTTCATGTTGAGGGTCACCAATTTCTTGATTCTTGTACCTCTTTGCCTTGAGCTCG